TCATAATGGACCTTGAGGGACCCTACTGTATCTCTTGATGCCAAGAACTTCTGAAGCAGCAGGGATCATCATAGCTGGGATAGTTAGAGTGCCTTTGTGATCTGGGGAAAGCTGCCATCCCTGATCTATGCTCTGCAAGCTCTCCAGCATTTTTGGATGAATGGTTTTCAATTTTCTGAGATGTTACTGAATCTGATGTCGGTGGACCCCATGGGTGGCTCAGTTGAGTCAGGAGGAGAGAAGGACAATTACCTTTTCTCACTTTGCTTCTGCCGCCTGGGTCCCACTGTGAAGACTAGGACTGGTAAAATCTGCGATGAGCCCCTGTTTGGCACAGGCCTGAGCCCGCCAGCCCCACGAGGTGGCCATCAAGGCCACACCTGAAGTCCACTTGGTTTTCTCTGCACGGGAGTCGATCTCCACCACCTGGTTTCTCAGAGAGCCACAGACTCAGGCTGGAGTGAGGATTTGCTCTTTGCAGGGAAGGAGAGGCCAATCCTAGGCCTTAGCCAGTTTTTTCAGGGTTCTTGTCTCGCTTGCAATTTCAGGAGAATTTCAGGAGTAGACAAACAGTGAAGTAAACAGATTTTATTTGGAGGATTTTTGGAGGGAAGGAGGGAGTGGAAAAGAATGGAGAGTAAGAGAGAGACAGAGTAACACGCTCAAGAGAGAATGTGCCCACTTCTCCAAGGGCGGAGAATGCCCCTACACACATCCCAGCATTAGACAGGAAAGCATGAAAGTACACATCTCAAGAGGGAAGATGCAAGAGACACATATGTTCAGGTACCACATGTGCTCAGTCACATGGGCGCTAGCAGGACGTAGGCTTGGGCAGCATATGTGTGCCCTTCTTTTGTTCAAGGTGTCTTTTATAGGCTCTTCTTGGGTTGTCTTGATCCAGAAGTTCTGGAGTCTTCCTGAGGCTGGATCACATTTTAATCAGAGTAAGGGAGAGGTCCAAGGTTTGAGGAACTTCATGGGGAGGGGTTCAACCTCCTCAGGGTCTGCTGAAGGTCTTATCAGGTCTGTTTTCTGTATCCACAGGGTGAGTCAGTCTTAGAATTTTCCTCGCAGAAGTTTTGTTGACCTAAGTTTTATTGATGAGGGTCTTTCTCTGTCTACCTGCCTACATCACTATCACCAGGCAAATGCCTGGCTTGAGTCAAGACTAGTAAAGTCAGCTGTAAGTACCGTGTAGGTGCTCATGTCCTCCCATTCCCATGACACAGACTTTGAGTTGCACTTGAAGCTCATTTCTACTGCACAGTATGGGATATGGTACCTGCCATGGATTTCATTGAGACCCATGGATTCAGTCTGAAGAGGGAATTTTTTTTTAAATTTTTATTAGTGAGACATCATGAGGTACAGTTGTAGACTTACAAATTTTTGTGCTTGGGTTTCAATTATACAATGATCAAATACCCATCCTTCCACCAGTGCCCATCTCCCACCACCACGGATCCCAGTATCCTTCCCCCCCCCCCCCCCCAATTCCCCGCATCCCACCCTGCCTCTGTGGCAGGGCATTCCCTTTTGTTCTCTCTCTCTTATTGGGTGTTGTGGTTTGCAAAAGAGGCAATGGGTGACAATCATGTTTGGTCTACAGTCTACTTTCAGCATGCTTCTCCCATCCTGGGAGGATCCTCCCAACACCTTTATTTGGTGTTCCCTTCTCTATCTGAGCTCCCTTTTCCCCTAGCATGTGTGGTTGGCCTCCAAGCCCTGGAGAAAAATTCCTTGTACTAATCTCGGCCATTCTTGGGTGTTAGTCTCCTATTTTGTTACTTTATGTTCCCCAGATGAATGCAATCTTTCTATGTCTATCCCTTTCTTTCTGAGTCATTTTGCTTAGCATGATACTTTCCATGTAGTACCACTTGTATATAAATTTCATGACTTCGTCTTTTCTAACAGCTACATAGTATTCCATTGTGTAGATGTACCAAAATTTCTTTAACCAGTCATCTGTTCTCAGGCACTCAGGTTTTTTCCAGATTCTGGCTATTGTAAAGAGTGCTGCAATAAACAGACAATTGCAGATGTCACTTGGACTATACTTTTTTGCCTCTCTGGGATATATTCCCAGGAGTGGTATTGCTGGGTCAAATGGGAGCTCAATTTTTAATTTTTTGAGAATTGTCCACACTGTTTTTCAGAAGGGCTGAACCAGTAGGCATTCCCACCAACAGTGAAGGAGTGTCCCTTTCTGCCACATCCACGCCAGCACCAGTTGCTTTTGTTCTTGTGGATATGAGACTTTTGGCTAAGATCAAGTGTAGTATCTGTTCTTATCAGAGAGAAGTTGTTTTTTTTAAAGAAAGGAAAAGCTCTAATCTTAGCACAGGTAATTTTGGTCCATTTGGCTTTCCTTCATGAAAAAGAATTTCAGGAAGAGATCAAATAGTGATGCAAGATAATTTTGTTTGTTTTCATTTCAGGGCCACACCCAGCAATGCTCAGGTGTTACTTCTGACTCTGCACACAGGAATTATTATTGGAGATGCTTGGGGGACCATATGGATAGGGATCAAACCTGGGTCAGCTGCAGGCAAGGCAAATACCCTACCCACTGTACTAACGCTCTGGCCTGCAGGATAATTTTTATTGGATTACTAAGCAAATATTTAGAAAAATGTGAAGGGATTGAGGAAATATGTGTTCAAAATAGAACATGGTCTCTACAGACTGGAAAAGAAAAAAAAAAGCAAAGGGATATGAGGTCATGGGAGAACATGAGCCGAAAAAGCAAGCCCACACAGATAAGTGACAGAGACAACAAGGGAGATGTATGTTCAAGGGAGAACATGCTGGACTGGAGCATGTGACCAACGTGAGTTTGATCCCAGGCAACTCATATGGACCCCTGAGCTCCATCAGGAGTGATCCCTGAGCACTGCCATGTGTGGCCAAAATCAAAACAAACAAAACAATTGAGATAGAGAGGGAGGGAGGAAAAAGCAGAAAGAAGGGAGGGAGAGGGAGAGAGAGAAAGAGAGGAGAAGGAAGAGGGAAAGAGTGAGAGTGAGAGGGAGAGGGAGAGAGGGAGAAAATGAGAGAGAGAGGCAGAGACAGAGAGACAGAGGGAGAGAGGCTTTTGCAAGGAGTTTGTACTCAATTCCTCCAACAATTTTTTTCCTGGAGTTGTGAGTACATAAAAGTTAATAAAAGTTAAAACTACATAAAAGTTAATCTGAGTGTTTTCACAGCTTTGCACCCTTCATGGCCCTCATGATCTCATCCTGGTCCCTCATGATCTCATTTGTTTCTCTGTTTGTCTGTTTGTCTTTCCTAATCTCATATATTCTTTTGTAGCTTATCCTTTGAGGGATCCACCCTTCTCTGGATGGGGCCTTGATTTCTGCATTTGGGTGGTACCTCAGTTTCTCCTCTCCAGAAGCTCAGAATTTATGTTTCAAAAGAATGTTGTCTTCATGCCTTTGGACCTCTTTAAGGCCACCTAAGTAATGTCTTAAGTTTTATTATTTCCCAAAAGTATATTACCAAAGCCCAGCCCCCCGTCACCTGTCCCTGCCACCTATTTGACTACAACAAACCCATGCCCTAAATACCCTCTAATTCATGTAGTTTTCACTCAGACCCTAAAATATGAGAATATTGAACAAGAATAAAGAAAATAGAAGGAAAATTTCAAACATAAGTCCTTTTTTTTTTTTATCTAACTCAAGCAATATCATAAAAAAGAGCTCCTTAGAGAGAACCTGGATGCACTAAAATCTGAATGAATACCCACACCCTTCATATTTATGTTCCCTTACTCAATTTGTGGCATATGGGCTGAGTTCAAACTTAAAGCAAAGTGTGGCTTAGATTTTTATTTGTTTGGGGTGGTCAAGTAATCAAAATGTGGCTGAACTATAGCAATGAGTAAAATTTTGCTATTTACTCCAAGGGATGAATTGGGACTCAAAAACAACATTGATTTTGCAAATAGGTTCTAATTATGCTCATCTATAATCTTTTTGAAAGAATGTGAAGGTGAAGTAAAGCAAACTTTGTACACCAAAATCATCCCAATCATTACTCCTGTTTATATATCTCTTTGTAATACTGTGCAAGCTGTAGGGTGAAAATCATAGCTGACAATGAAGGAAATGCCATATAACCAACGATAGGTAGGAGATTTTTTTTTTTTTTTTTTTTTTTTTTTTTTTTTTTAGGCCTCCCCTCTCGGAGAGCCCAGCAAGCTACCAAGAGTATCTCGCCCACACTGCAAAACCTGGCAAGCTACTCGTGATGTATTCCATATGCCAAACACGGTAACAAGTGTCACAATGGAGACGTTACTGTACCCGCTTGAGCAAATCGGTGAACAATGGGAGGACAGTGACAGTATTTTAGGTATCTTGGTTTATAATATTGTTAATAATAATATTTCAGGCATGCAATGTTTCAACACGATGGGGATGGGTAGAAGTTACCTAGTTAAAAAGAGGGAAGAGAGAGTATTTCAGTCAGAGGGAACAATCTGGCATATTGGAAAACCTGAGATACAGCTGGCCTGTGGAATCCTACAGGACCAAGAAAAGGGCAGAAAATTGTTAGTAAAGAATCCAAAAAGATGGGCAGAGGTCCTGAGCATCAGGGTGGTTAGATACCTGAGGAATATACTTGAGCATCAGAAAGGCTTTATATCTGAGGAATGTTGCTTTATCTTCAGGTAAGATAAAAGTCATTACACAGTTTAAGGAAGGAGGCACCAAGATCAGATTTTAGCCTTAGAAAGATTACTCTTAAGATATGCCTGGAAAAAGTTAAGGGAGGGAAAGTTAGATGATCAGATTTTCTTTATGTAAAGTATTGTTTGTCTGAAGGAGATCTAGAGATATATAAGGAGATTCTGTTGGAAGGTTTTAAGTAGTATAAGGTGAGGCATGCATTTTGAAAGAGATATTCTAATTAAGCTTAAACAAGTATAAGTAGTGAAGTACTGGAAACCAGAAAGACTTGGGATCAAGGTACATCCAGACTCCACCATGTCCTTGAATTGCTTCACCTGTCAACTCTGCAAGCAGCCTCTGAAATGGAATAAATCTTCCATTCCCCTGGAGAAGTTGGCCCTCAAAAGCACCGAAGAATCTGAAACAGGGAATTTGGCCTCAGCTCAATGTGAGGCAAAAACCCAGAAGGGGAGCTCTGACTACTTCAAAGATTCAAATATTGAAGACCGACAAAATGAAGTTCTTTCTGGCAATGATAGACTCTCCATGGACAAGCCCAATCACTTCATCCTGGTAGGGCAATTTGACTCCATGAGAACACTTCATAGCATCCAGAAAATGACCGTGGATGTTTTTGACATTCTCTCTGGTAAGAAAGAAATAGACCATCCCCTTTGTGAAGACTGTACTGACAAACTTTTGGAAACACTGGACACCCATCTCACCATCCTGGATTCTGAAAATAAGAAATACAAAATCTGTTTGGAGAGTGGAGAGAGTGCACCAGAAGGTGAGCAGGAGGCCCTGCAGGAGGAACTGAAGGGGTTGGAGCTGGAGGAAGCGAGACTGGTACAGGAACTGCAGGAGCTGGAGAAGAACCGAGAAAGAGCAGCAACTGATTTTAAGGCAGCTCAGGCTGAGACCAGGACGCTGGACCAGCAGGAAATCCTGAACCAGAGGGACTACAGTCAATTACAGTGGCAAGAAATGGAACTGCAGGATGAGTTGAGGAGTCTGGAGAAAAGGTTTAAGTACGTCCAGGACGAGCAAGCCCAATTGGAGAAAATGAACATCTTCAGCACCACCTTTGACATTTGTCAGGATGGAAATTTTGCCATCATCAATAACTTTAGATTGGGTAACCTCCCTTCTGTTCCTGTGAGTTGGAGGGAGATCAATGCGGCCTGGGGACAAACAGCCTTGCTGCTTCTTGCTCTATCCAAGACAATTGGGTTGGAGTTTAAGAGGTATCAACTTGTGCCCTGTGGAAGTCATTCCTATCTGAAGTCTTTAACCCAGGACGCCATTTATCTGCCATTGTTTTGTTGTGATAGAAACGATATTTGGTTGTATTATAAGTTTGACCAGGCAATGGTGGCTTTTCTGGACTGTATGCAACAGTTCAAAAATGAAGCAGAGAAAGGTGAATTGGGTCTGCACTTGCCCTATAGGATTCACGTAAAGGAAGGCTTAATGGAAGACCCTGCAAATGGTGGTAAATTTTATTCCATCAGAACCCACATGAACACAGAAGAGCAATGGACAAAGGCACTAAAGCTTATGCTTACAAATTTTAAGTGGAGTCTTGCTTGGGTTTCATTAAGGTATCGTCAAAAATAACCTTTTATATAATGATCTCTGGTATGTGGGAGTTCACAGCAAAGTATCAACAGAATTCCAGTGGTAACATAATAGGAGAGTTGATCTACACAATTGAAGCAGGGATGGGAGTTGGAAGGGAGGGGTGTTGTTGTTCTTGGGAAAGGGATGGGGTACACTGGTGATGGGTGTGGTGTTTGAATAACGTGTGTGATATACCATACTAAAAGCACTGTAAACTACAGGACCTCAATAAAAAAAATTCAAATAACCTTTTATTCGAGGTTTCTTTGGCCTTTAATATTTTATTTGTGAAAATACCATCAGATAATAAAACTGAAGAATATAACATATTTAAGGGTAGACCTTGAGGCCATTATGGTAATTGAAATATCAAGAAAAAAATAGGCATGATTTCACTTACATGTAGAATTAAAAAAAAATTTAATTGAATCACCATGAGACATGTAGAATTTTAAATGCTTAGAAAAGGTATCAGATTTGTGGTAATGGGTCAGGAATATGGGTCAGTGGTAAGATTTATCTTGCATGTGTGAGACACTGAGTTCCATCCAGAATAGAAAAAGTAGAAGGAGTGATCCCTGAGAGCAGAACCCTGAGCACAGAAGAGGAAAAAAGAAAAAAAGAAAGGAAGAAAAAGAAGGAAGGAAGAAAGGAAGGAAGGAAAGAAGGAAGGAAGGAAGGAAGGAAGCAAAGAAGGAAGGGAGGAAATGAGAGAAAGAAAAATTCAAGGAACATATTTTCATTAAGAGGTTTGGGATGGGAAAATGTGGTAGGCAGGATTGTATGAAGGTGATGAAAGGGTACAACTGTGTGATTATGAAGTAAATACTGGGGATGTAATGTAAAATATGACAGCTGCATAATATATGGGAGTTGTCAGAGTAGATCCTGCAAGTTCTCATCACAAAGAGAAAACTTCCCTTTTTTCAAACAAGATGAAATTAACTGAATTTATTGTGTTAATCTTTTTTCACAATACATAAGTACATAATCAAATCATGCTGCATACTTAAAACTTATAGTGATAAACTAGAAAATTTAAACATTTGAATAAGACATAATTTTTAAAAATATGACTACACAGACATTAAATTACAGTTAATTAAGAAGTACTTTACTAGAAGAAAAATGCTGTATTGGGTTAAGCATTGTATGTGAGAGATAAAAATTCCCAGCCCCACACCCTCACTTGAGCACTGCTGGGAACAGCCCTGATCACTAAACTGGGAGTAGCCTCTGACCACTGTTGGGTGTGGCTCCCAAATCCAAATACATATGTGTATATGTATATATAATGCTATATATATAATGTGTGTATTTATAATGCAAGCCTAAAGTTATTGCCATTTTCATAGCAATATTCATCTTTTCTTCCTTGTTCTTCTAAGTACCATATCTGGAAAAATTCAAAATGACAGCAAAAAAGATCAAATTAAGGAACGATGAGATAATGTTTGTATTAAAAAATTGAAGAATGCAAAGGAAAAATAAGAACTAAGGATGCAGGGTGATGGGGAGAAAGGCAAGTCTTTGACTTATGAAAAAATAAGTGTGATAAGAGATACTCAGTGAAACTTTGGGTCCCATCCTCCTGTTGTTCATTGATTTGCTCGAGCGGGCCCAGTAACGTCTCCATTTTTTTGAGACTTGTTACTGTGTTTGGTATATTGAATATGTCACGGGGTGCGGGCGAGATATTCTTGGTAGTTTGCCAGGCTCTCCGTGTGGGGCAGAGGAATCAAACCCAGCTCGGCCCGGCTGGCTGCGCGCAAGGCAAACGCCTTACCGTTGTGCTAAACATTAGTTTGAATATGTTGTTGTAAAGTATAATATAAAGCCCTCTTCAGTCTGAAAAAAATGCAATCAATTTTTTAATATTCTTGAGTGATTTGAAGTGTGGTGTATTATCGGTGGTGCCTGTTGTTATGTTGAGATTGGATTAGGTGAGAGAACAGAGTGACTGAGAAGTACTGGTAATTTTCCACTGCTAGTACTATCCAGTGGTCATTTAAAGACATGAGGTGAATATTTATAGAGAGCTAAAGATTGAAAAGGAGTCAGCTGAAGTCTGTGCTTGGCATGAGGAAGCCCTGAGTTTGATTCCCCAGCACTATGTGGTCCTCTGAGTACTGTGGGAAGCAACCCCAAAGCAGAGAGGGCATAGCTTCCAAGCATTTCTTGGTGAAAGTAAGAAAAGACAGAAGGAAGGATAGAAAATAGGAAAGAAGGAAGGAAGGAAGGAGGGAAGGAGGGAGGGAGGGAGGTACGGAGGGAGGGAGGGAGGTACGGAGGGAGGGAGGGAGGGAGGGTGGGACTTCAAAATGCAAATTATATTATATTGTTATTATGCTTTCCACAGTTTTCAGAATAAATCCCCAAATTCTTACCATGACTGTCAGAACTGGGGCATCTGTCCTTGCTAGACCTTCCAGACGTAAGTCCAGGGCCCAGGAGATAGATAAAAGAGCTGGAGTAGGGACCGACCGGAGCAATAGCACAGCAGGTAGGGCATTTGTCTTGCACATGGCCAACCTAGATTCGATCCCCAGCATCCCATATGTTCCCCGAGCACCGCCAGGAGTAAATCCTGAGTGCAGAGCCAGGAGTAACCCCTGAGCATCACCAGGTGTGATCCAAAAAGAAAAAAAAATGCTGGAGTAAATGCTTTGCATGTAGAAGGCCCTGATTTGATTTCTAGCACCACAGGAAGTAATCCTTAAGCACAGAACTGGGAGTAGCCCCTAAGTATCACTGAATGTGGACTAAAAACAACAAACAGAACAGTCATTCCTTCTCTCAGCAACTTTATTCCCAAACATACCTAGTCCAGCTTTCTCTGTTGCCTCTGCTTTTTCCTGTGTGTCAGATATAAGTAAAACAAACTCCTTTAGATTTTCAGTTTAGAGTGTACCTAGACCAGGCCTTCATAAAAGTTAAACATCTATTAGTGGAAGTCAAGGAAAAGATGATTAAAAAAAAGATGGTCACAGAATTAAAACCCTTACCAGTAAATAGGTGGAGTGGATTAATGTCTAAGAATAACTATAGGATACCCAGTAGGTATACAATGTTAGTGAAGTAGTTGGGGATGTGACAAGGACAGGGCTCAGGCCTTAAATATGTGCTTCTGTGGCAATTACCACTAAGAAGCCAATCAATTCCCACCTTTGACCTCCACCTCTGTCCCTTGGGGATCAGTGGTAGAGATTAAAATAAACAAATATATTAGGTGACACACAAATACAAGAACTATTAAAGACTCCAAGTGAGCTCACAGGCTAGCCATTTATTCTGATATAATATTGCGTGCACACCGAGCCCCCCTCCTTCCCACCTTAGAATCTCCCCACCTCATTCCAACATGTGAGCGATTTGGGTTGATCTGTTGTTAAGGACAGAGGCAGGCAGTGGAACTGTAAAGTGGAATGCATGCTTTACATGCAGGAAACCCAAGTTGTATCCTTGGCACCTCATAGTACCCTAAGCTTTGCTGGTGGTGACTCTGAAGCACCACTGGGTAAAGGTAAAGGTAAAGGCCCTCCTGTTGATCGTCGATTTGCTTGAGCGGGCCCAGTAATGTCTCCATTGGAGACTTTGTTGTTACTGTGTCTGGCATATCGAATACTCTCGGTAGCTTGCCGGGCTCTCCGAGAGGGGCGGAGGAATCGAACTCGGGTCGGCCATCTTGGCCGCTTGTAAGGCGAACGCCCTACCCGCTGTGCTATCGCTCCAGCCCTACTGGGAACGATCCCAAAACAACAGCAACAGATAAAAGTCTAAGACTTGAGCTCTGGTTCAGGAGTTAATCACTACCTTGCATTTATGAGTCCTTGAGTTCAATTCCTGGTACTACCCCAACCCAATGAAACAACACAACAAAACCATTTATGCCAGTACCCAAATCTCCCCCTGCCTCCATGGCAGAAAATTTCCCCCATACTCTCTCTCTACTTTTGGGCATTATGGTTTGCAATATAGATACTGAGAGGCTCTCACATTTGGTCCTTCTATTTTCAGCACATATACGACACATTTTATTTAAAATTATTTATTTATTTGTAAACAATCAGCCCAGATTATTGTGTAAGGATTTTTCTTTTAATGTTTGTTTTGGCTACCTCCAGCAGTGCTCAGGGTTAACTCCTGACTCTGCATTCAGGAATTACTCCTGATAGGGCTCAGGGGACCATATTGGATGCTGGGTATCAAACTGGAGTTGGTTGCATTTAAGGCAGCCACCCTACCTGCTGAACTCTTATTCTAGTCTCTTGAAACATTTTTTTATTATAATAATAGCAACGAAGCTATAAACATCTGGGGGCAGGGAAGATAGATGGATCAAAGGGCTTGAGTGCTATGCTTTGCATGCTGGAGCCTGGATCTGATTTCAGGCAATAGATATGCCCCAAGCATCACCAGGAGCAAGCCCTGAGCACTGTACTAGGAATAGCTCTCCAGCACCACTGGGTGTGGCCAGAAGCAAACAAACAGTTGTAAACATCCATGTACTTATAATTATATGAATTCATGACTTCTATAGCTATGTCTTTTTTTTTTATCTTGTATTCAACCCTTTTCCCTTTACTTTCATTCTTGATGTTGTTTTGATATGACTAGGGACTACACACACATGACTATTGGTGCTCACCAAAATTTGTATTACTTTACACGCACTGCTTTCATATGCTCACAGGGGTCACACTCTTTGTTGAGGCTCACAAGTTATGCTTAAGGTGCTCAATGGGGGTCTCTGAGGTGCAAACATATAGGTTGGACAGGAATAACATTTCCTGATCATGACAATTGAATATCGTTCTGAGTTGATGAGCTTTCTGGGGTGGGGTAGGAAGGGGAGGTGTCACCACCCCCTTTTTATTGTAATACATACCTGATTGTTGTGTGGCTAAAAATTGTGTGTGATACCAGAAATCACAGACAGGATCACTATCTTGACAAATATTCCATAATTACTTGTAAATCAGTTTCAAATGTAGAAC